AGAATAAATAATGTTTTCTTGTTGATATTTTCCTTATACACCATTGATCTTTCAGGTCATAAAACAAGAATGTTAAAGAATTGTATCTCTTTTTTTTTTTTCTTTCTCTTTTCCACAGAAGCTAAATATTTTTAATTAGTCTGAACTTGTGAGTTTGAGGTAAGGTGTACTGTGATATTATACTGTGAGAACTTTGGACCACCTTAAAAGCAGTATCGTGGTGGGGTTTCATTACACCAGCACCTGAGGTTTGGTGAAGGATAATGGTGCCTTTGTGTTAGGCACTGTGCAAACAAATTAGCCTGCCTGGAGACCTTGCAGTCTGGGAAAATGGCAGTGCCCAACAAACAGAAAGAACCTGGCAAAAGACCGTGAAAGGACCCGCGATCAAGATAACAGTAAAATTAATATCTTGCAACTAATAACATAGAGCCATTTATTCCTGTTAATTAGCTGCCTGTGCTGGGGTAGCAGTGACTAGCAAGCCTCTAGTCGGGAGAACCTTTGAAGGGGAGCACTGAAGGGGGATTAAGTGGTGTGTCTTCTGCAGCGATTTCTTTTTCAGAGTAGCTTTTTTAGACAGCTCAGTTTTATTTTTAACATGTTTGTGTCCATGTCCAAAGATGTTATGGCATAGTTTCAGCCTTTATTTTTTAATAGAAGCTACCGAAGCTCTGTTGTGATCCAGTGTCGCAAGCAGCCCGCTCTGTGGCTGCGGAAGGTGCGGGAGGGTTGACTTGGTAGCGAAGACGTGGTGTAACAATTCTGGTTTTGTTTGCGAGTGAGCCTGCTGCCACAGCCTGGACTGCTTTGGCTCCTTGCTCTCTTTCGCCGTCATAGTGGCCTCCTGGAGCCAGTAGCAGGCTTGTGTGATGTCCCACGCTGAGGACGATTCGGAGGTCGCTGATGAACCCTGAGGCCTGGTGCTGCCTTGGCCTGGGTGCTTAGCCTTGGCTTCCAGTCACTGGGCAGCACCCCCTTCTGCACGGCACATCTCTCTTGTCTG